GGCCCGTCGCACGTCCCTGACACACCCCTCAGGCAGCTCGGCCCGACCGTCCGCTCGACCTACTGCCGCGAGCACGGCCTCGCGACCTCGATGCTCGAGCGGCTGATGAAGCTGCCGCTCTACGCGCCGCCCGGGGACGGCGCCTCCCCTCCACCTCCCTCCTCCGGCCCTCCCTGCGTCACCAAGCTGGTGCGCAATTACCGCTCGCACGCCGCGCTGCTCTCGCTGCCGTCGCGGCTCTACTACGGCGACGCGGCGGCAGGAGTGCGCCTCTTCCCCGGCTCTCGCCTCTGAGTGGGGTTCCACCTCCCCGCGTGTAGGGAGCGAGCTGCAGGAGTGCGCCGACCCCGCGACGTCGCGCGTGATGGAGGGGTGGGAGGGGCTGCGGCGGCGAGGCTCCCCGCTGCTCTCTCTACGGCGTCGGGTCCGTCGCGAACAGCGCCTCTTCACGTCTCCGGCGGTGAACAGGGTTCCCGCTGCTCTTCTACGGCGTCTCGTCGGCGCACACGCACGAGGTGGACTCACCCTCCTTCTTCAACCCGGTGGAGGCGGAGAAGGTCGCGGAGCTCATCGAGAGGCTGCTCGCCGCCAGCAAGGCGGACGGTACCGGCATCACCACCAACGACGTTGCGGTGGTGACGCCGTACCGCAAGCAGGTGGTCAAGGTAGACACTTCCTAGACACTTCCTAGACACTTCCTAGACACGCCGTACCGCAAGCAGGTGGTCAAGGTGCGGCAGCTGCTCCGCTCGCTTGGGCTGGGCGCGGTCCGCGTCGGCTCGGTCGACGACTACCAGGGACAGGAGGAGACGATCATCATCATCTCAACGGTGCTCGCGTCATACGGCGACCGCAGCAGCCTCGGCCGGCTCGCGTCGCCGCACAGCCTCATGTCGTCGCCGCAGCGCTTCAACGTCGCCATCACGCGCGCGCGTGCGCTGCTCGTCGTGGCGCGCGAGCGACGAGGAAGCACTCATCACTCACTGCTGGTCGTTGAGCCGTTGCGGTGGGGCGAAGGTGGGCGACCCGAACGCGCTGATCGACGACCCGTCGTGGCGCGAGCTGCTCCGGTACGCGGTCGAGAACGACTCCTATCGCGGCTGCCCCCACCCGCTAATGATGGAGGGCACCGAGGACGAGGCGTCGGGAGGGCTCGATGGCGCGGCTCGCCTGTGAACCGCGCCGCTTCACACTCTCCCGCTGTGAACAGGCGTCTGAGAACACGATGGCGCAGCTCGCCGACCACGTGGCGAACTCGGTGCTGGGCAGCGGCAACGCGGTCGCCATGTTCCCCACCCTCGCGGGCGAGGCGACGTACGACGGCGCGTACGATGAGTCGGACGACCAGCCCTGGCGCGTCATGCTGTGACCCGCGCTAGGCCTACGGGCGGTGGCGCCCTCGCCCCTCCTGCCGTGGTTGTCAATCCTTGCCGCGCATCTGTCTAGTCAAGTACGTATATGTACGTAAAGGTGGTAAAGCGAGAAGAGGTACGTACATAGATAGAACATACACCCAATGACATACGTAAAATATGGTAAATTTGCTTGCTGTAGAATGGTTGGGTAGTAGGGCTAGAGGGTCGCTCTACACTTAGCCTCTGCAGCGAGCGAGCGCTCAACTTAGCCCCCGCACGGAGCCGGGCTCAGACTTAGACGCTGGAAGGCCGGGGGCCATGAACTTAGACGACACGAGGCCAACTCCGGGTAAAACCCGGGTATACCTGCACAAAAGTCCAGGTTTACCCGAAAAATACCTGGACGCGGTCCCGACTAGCGTATGCCGCGCACGACGCCATATCGCCGTCTCCCAGGGCCAGTGCGCTACTTGCGGCGCGCAACGCCTGCTCAAGTACGCGCACCGTACCATGTGCTGCCGCTATGCGTGCCTTAAGGCGGCTGCGGCGAAGCGGCGGGCGCGGCATGCCGATGGCAGTGCGGACGATGCGGTTGCGATGTGTTCTGCTTCAAGATCGTGGCGGTGCTTGGCATGCACTTCTGCGATCCCAATCAGCTCATCGCAACGAAGCAGCGCAACAAGCTGGCTGCTGCCAACAAGGCCCTATGCTACCTCACGCGCGGATCGTTCAAAGAGGACCAGCATACACAGGCTTCTCTGACATGCGTTTGTTTGAGCTTGAGGCTATTTGTGAGAACTATTTGGCTAGATGTCGCCGAAGTGCGCTCAAGAAGCAGCAACGAGAATCGGAAGAGGAGGATGCTGAGGCGGCGATTGCTGAGCATGAGGAGGATCGATCGCCCGCCGCGCAGGCGAAGAAAATTTGGGCGCGAGCGCCGTATATCGCGTGCCATGGCCGACTTAGCCGGTGTAAGAGGCTCCCGCTGATCTTAGACCGCGTAAGCACTCCAGCGTGGCTAGCCACACTTAGACCCGTTAAGCCGCGAGGCTCAGAACTTAGACTACTACCCAACCAGTTGCTGTAGTGTGTAGACTAGGTCCAGCCCAGGGTGAGGCAGATCTGACGTTTATCTGAAAGTATAGAGATGAGAGTGAGGTTGAACCGGACCCAATCAAAGTCGGCGGGTTTCGGAGGGGGGGGGGATATGACGAAAAACGGCGGGCGCATTTGGGCACATGACTGGGAGAACTCTGTGGTGGACCCGCTGGGCGAAAGGTTCTCGCAGACCGTTGCTTCCTCACAATGTCGTTGAGCGGAGCGAGTGCGAGCGCGGCGGCCAAGCAGCGGCACCAGGAGCAGCGGCGAGCTGACACGAGCGCGCTCGGTCGCTGATGCGGCGAGGGGGCAGAGGCAGATGCCCGAGCACGTGCCAGAATTTGACCTCGCGTTCATGTCTCAGATGCTGGGCGTTGGAGCCGTCCGGTCGGAGCCAGAAGACCCAGCCACTGGCGACGACGAGACGATCATGCAGGAGGCCGCCGTCGACGTTGCCCTCCAGCTTTTGACGGATGGCGAGGGGCTGCAGGCGCTGCTCGCATCTGATGAACCGAGCGCAGATAGGGTTGCGCTGGAGGGTGCCGACAACGCGTTTGCAAACTCGCGTACCTCACGCTCCGTAGTCCAGCCATGGCCAGTACCCCGCGTCTCAGTGAGACGCGTGGTACCATCCAACTCCGGTCGACGGGCTCGAATGCGCTCAATCTCAGGAGGGACAAAACCACGCGAATTCTGCACGCTAGGGTGCCCACAGGACCCAAAAAAAGGAAATAAAAAACAAATGGGCCGCTCCCGATCGCAGGACTTCGTGTTGGCTAGTCGAGATATTGAGAGTGTGACTAGGAGGGTGGGACGCTGGGGATTCTCAAAGGTATACACCCTTGGAATGCGAATGGCCGGATCCAGCCTTAAAAGTACGAGATCGCGCGCGCTTCGCGCACAGCACCGCCTGTTCTCCGCGGCTGTGTGACGACGCGTGCCGTGTACCAGCAGAATTGGGCGCGCGCGGCGCGACGGCGCCCGCGAGGGAAGGCGCGGGTGCAGCGGCCGCCGGCGGCCGTGCCGCCCGCCAGCCGGCGCAGCAGCGGCCAGCGCAGCGGCCGCCGGCGCAGCAGCCAGATCAGCCGGTGCGCGCCTTGCGAGGCGAGTACTGCCGCCCGGCAGCCTTGAGGCGGCCGGGCGGCAGTACTCGTTCGAACTTTGCGAGCCGTGCGCGCGCCGAAGCCCGCGGCGCGCGCCCGCCCGGCTGCCAGTAGGAGGCGGCGCAATATGGCCTATAGTACAGCCCTTGAGGAGGAGGAAGAGGCTGGCTGGCAGTGCTGTATGCCGCCGAGGGGCAGTTTTGGGGTGCTGACCCACGCACCAGGGGGCTGCAGAAGGCGTCCGCAACCGGGACAACCCGCCCCCCCAGCCGAGGCCGGTCGAAGCCCACTTGGACACAGCCATGAGGAGTCCTCTTGGTGCTCCTGGCGGCCGTTGGAATGGCGAGCGCGCGCCGATGGGGGGGGGGGGGGTCTTGCTTGCTCCACACCGAGCGCCACCGGTCCGGACCGGCGTGTCCACCGAGGGGTGGCTTGCACAAGGTCTGAGCCGCGGGCGCTCGGCACCAAGTGCAGTGTCACGCTCGTGCTCGCGCGTGACAAACCG